GAGAGAGAGAGGGAGAGAGAGAGGGAGAGAGAGAGGGAGAGAGAGAGGGGGAGAGAGAGGGGGAGCGTGTGTGCGGGTGCAAGCTTACACCTGCACGTATGTCTGTTCTAGCAAAGGTGTTTTTAATTTTTATGAAATAAAGGATTCATGCAGTTAGGCACACATCAATGTACAGTTGGATGAATTTCCACAAATGGAATACACCTGGTAACCAGCACCCAGACAAAGAGATCAAACGCTCCCAGTCTCTTAGACTTAGGCTGCCCTCCAGTCACTAAATACCCTCCTTTGCCAAGGGAACCACTCTCCTCGCTGCTAATGGCATAGATTATTTTTGCCTGTCTATGTATTAATAGTTCAGGGGCCCTTCTTAACAGACTCCATGAAGGGGTGGTGGAAAAATTCAGGGAAGAAATCGCATCTCCTTCTCATTAACCTCTAATTCAAATTTAGCATTTCCTTCAATTATGAATGTAGGCAACAAAGCAGAAATTGTGACCAAAAGAAACTGCAGATGTTTCCCTGTCGCGTTACGGTTGCTGCCTGGCCTCTCAAATCACATTAATACTCATCACGACTTCAAAATTACAGCACTTAGCTTTGCTGCTGGATCTTAAAATTTAAAACATGAATAAAGACATATATTACACTATCAAAAGTTGTTTTTTGTGTTCCGAGCTGTATTTCAATACAGTTGGTTTCCTTTTTAATCCTATGTGTTTTATTTTGTCTCCGAATATGTGCTTCTGAGATGGGCTTCACTCGCTGGTGGAGAGAAGCTAAGACCCTGCTTGGTCCGGGCTCAGGTGCTGACACTGGGTCCCCTCCTGTGTGCCTCAGCTCCTCATCTGTAACGTGAGGAAGGATGAGACGCACCTCCCGGTCCTCTCTGGGATTCTAGAATGCTCTTCCCCTGGCCTCCAGCTTGGACTTACTTGGACTTTGTGTCCTTTCTGGGTATGGATTGGGAGCCCAGTCTGCCTCGCCCTTGGACTTGAGAAACGCCACTCTGAGCCCTGCAGTGGCCTATGGGATGGACGAGGACCAGGGGGGCCGATGTCCTGTGTCCAAGCATTTCCATACCCTCCACAGTGTTCTCCGTCCAAGGCCTGGTGGTGAGGCACTAGGTCCTAAGAAGGAGCCTGCCCCAGCTGGCCTCTACAGAGCATCCACTTCCTCAGGGCCCTGGCTGGGACGGGAGAGTCTGCCCAGGCGAGCTGCTGAAACCAGATTCTAGATGAAGTTCTCTGCTGCAGCACCCGGGCAGCCTCATGTTCCAAAGTAAACCCATGAAGAGTGCCTTTTGTCCCTGGGCCCCACAGGCGGCTCCTGGTGGGTGGGTGGGATCCGCTTTCTCCCTTGTTGTCCCACCACCTGCACCTGGCTCTGGCCCTGCCCTTCCTTTAGCAGCTCAGGGCCCACGCCCTGCTGTGGCCAAGCCTGGCTGAGCCCCGGCTGCAGGGTTTCCGCTGCTGCCAGGGTCGGGAGGGCTCAGGGGTGGTCTGAGGATGTTCTGGGTGCAGGTTCAGCCACACCCCTCAGGTCTAGGATGTCAGGCCTCCAGATTTCAGGGGAACCCAGCCCCTCACTGTGGAAGGTTGTAGGGGAAAATAGGTGAGCAGGGGACCCTGGTCTCGGTCTCACATTGCCCCAGTGTTTGGGGAGGCTGGACCTGGCTTGACTGTAAGCCCACAGTCACTGGTCCCCTAGATGCCAGCACCTCATGATTCTCCCCCCGCAGGACAGCTGCTCCATCTGCATCAGCTTCACCATCTGCACCAGCCCTACCGCAGCTCATCAGGCTGGGGCCTCTCCTTCCAGCTATCCACGCTTCCTGGGCCAGGTTTCCCTGTCCTTTGGGCTTCATTCTAGAGCCTGTCCCCCCTCCCCAACTCCATCCTGCCCCATTTCATCAGCCTCTGGAACTAGATGCATCTGTCCCTGCATCCGGAAGGCTCCCGAGAGCTCACGATGGGAACAGGCTCTCAATCCTCCTTTCCAGACTGGCTCTTCCTGGCACCCTTTCTTCTGGCACTGGCCATAAGTTCCCCACCCTCACCCAACGTCACTGCCCTGGGACAGGCCTCCTTGCCCCTGCTTGGACCATGGCAGTGCCTCCCTCTTTCCTTCTCTCCCACACATGCAGACCCTGCTCCTAGATTTAGACATTCTCCAACACTCTGTGTGCCCTGAGCAATGCCAGAGTCACCTCCTCTCCACTCCACCTCCTCCAGGGCACCTCCCTTGACTGCCCACCCACCCACACTGGCTCCTTCCCCCTTTCCCCCTTGCTCAGCTCTGGCCCCTTCCTGGCCTCTGCTGGTTACAGGCAGGTCCTGTAGCATGCGTATTCACATCAAGGCAGAGATGCTGCACGAGGAGAACATTCACTGTTCACACCAGAAACTAGACCCCCTTCACTGTTTTCACAACTGGCTTTCTTGAAGGAGGGTTTTCTGAAGGCAAAGGCACACAGCTGGTACTCAATCAGCAATGGTTACACTGCTATGACACGGACACGACAGCCAGGCAGGTAGAGTGTAGCTGTAGACACTGTCTGAGGTGGGAGGTGGTGTGCGGTGA